AGCTGAGCGCAGGGAGACACGCAGATGGTTGGGTGGACCCATGGGGCCGGAGCAGGCAGCTGCATGAGCGGAGGCCCTTGCTTCTCCCGCCTTGGGCTCCGTGCCAGCTGTCAGCAGCTGGACACTGGAGAGACCTACATAGCAACTAGCATCCCACTTGTCAGGGGCTGTCGATTCTGAAAAATAAGGACAACTGACCTTTGGAGGGCGCGAGCTGCTGTGGTCACCATGGTGAGTTCTTGGCTACGAAAAGCTCTCTCCTCCACAGTATACATTAGACTGTGTTACCTCTGTGCCTGTGGTCACGCTGCTGCAGAGTCCAGCCCGCCCCCCATGGGTGCAGGCGTTTTTCCCTACCACACTGAGGGGCAGGATACAGGTACGGATGCCGTGTGTGACCGAGTGCTGCAGACTCTGCTGGAGCATTCTGATGCTAGGAGGTGGGAAGGTCCGATCTGAGCTAAGCGTGGTCCACCAGAAGGCCTACCCTGCGGGCCACTGCTATCCTCTGCTATCAAGTCGGCCCCTCACGTGCTTGGGCCACTTTATTCATAACAGACTGGAGACTGTGTGCATGCCACCAACAGGAGAAGACATAAAGCGTGGCTTGTAACAGAATACTGCCCAGCAAAAGGAAAAAATATCCTAAGTAATAAACGAGCTATGACCATCAATCTGGAAGATCTTACCCCTACAAGGAGTGAAATAAACCAGAAACAAAAGGGAAAGAGAGTCTCTCCTGGCCCAGAGCCACGAAGTTTAAAGCATAAACTTCATTCTTCCTGAAACGGAACCACTTAACAGTTCCATGCCTATTTGGGGGTCTCGGGCAGAAAACCAGGCCATCTCTAAGTTGGCCGCATCAATTGTTGGTGGGGACGGACAGACTCAGCCCCAGCTTGGGCTGCACTGGGATCTCGCCTCGCTACTTCATCCTCATCCCTCTCCTTCCCTCCCGGTGCGGGCACAGTCGCAGAACCATTGGAGAAGGGGACTTTAGGGAAAGTAGGATTTCGCTGCATTTTTCCACTGTTTTAGTCCATTTGGGCTGCAGAAGAGAATGTGAAATGCATTTCCTGCCGTTGCTGCAGCTGTGAAGTCCACGATCAAGGCTCTGGCATCTGGAGTGGCTGTGTTGCTGTGTGCAGGAGGCAGGAGGTCAGGAGGGGATCAGTGCTGAGTCCTTGAATGTCATGGGGCAGAGGAGGTACAGCCACTCCCAAAGGCCTCTTTCTAGCCCCCCGGTCCTCACCTCCCCAGCAGGCCTTGCCTCCCTGCACCTTGCATTGGAGATTATGTTTCCACCACAGGAACTGGGGGGACCAGCGCTAGCCACAGCACTAACTAGGCTACTCCATGTCCTGCCAACAAATGCATCTCTGCAGTGAAGATTCCTGGCTATCATGTTCTAACCACACTCTTGGCCGTTTTTAAAATTCCATTCCTAGTAATATGGGTGAATTGATGGATGACAAAGATACTGCTGTTGGAGAAAGTAGAAGAGGGGGTGACAGTGAGCTCTAGCTCTATCATCAAACCACCTGGGATTGAATTTCAGCTCTGGACAAGTCATGTCATCGGCCTCCTTCAGATGGGCACAGTAGCAGCACCTTGCCCGGCTTGTGCAGAAGGCCCTCCGTGTCTAACCCCAGGTTCCACCCCACCAGCTTCAAACCAGCTGCAGATCAAAA